TTCCAAGCATAATCTACCTGCTAACTGTGCCATGTCAGCATCCCAACCTGTAGTGTCTACAGACAGTTCACAGAGCACACTTCAAGTTAATGTCAGTAAACAGGCTGATGCTTCTGTCACAACAAAAGTGCTCTTGGAAAAAGCAAAGGGTTCCTGCTCAAACATAGAATCTGTTACCAAACATGATGAACCTGTTTCCAGTGACATGTCGACGTCACAACACATTGTGTCTACTGACAGTTCAGAGAGCAAGATTGAGTTGCATGAGACCACAGACATTATAAGTAAGCATTCTGTTGCTTCTGTCACAGCTGTGACAAAAGCATCAATGAATACTGTAACAGGTCAGCACACTAACTCAGATTTCATTTCCAAAAACAGTGATCTTGTCACCAGTGACAGTTCAGCATCAGGGCATGTTATTTCAGTGAACAGTTCAGAGAACAAAAAGGAGACAGTTGCTGCTGCAGTAAGTATAAGCAGACAAACTGATGCTTCTATCACAACAGCAGAAAAAATTCCGATGGACAAATTCAAAAGCATCAACACAAACACAGAGTTAATGTCCAAGCATGAACTTCCTATCAATGAAAAGTTAGCATCACAACCTGATGTTTCATCGAGCAGCCCTGAAAGAAAACCAGACTTACGTCCTCTTACAGCTGTCTCTGTGACATCCACCTTGTCTGGAGACACACGGCAACACAAAGAGCAACCTGTGGCCAAGCCCAGGAGTTCAACCGAACGAGTATTCAAATCAGAAACAGATGTTACTGCTGCACCCACCACTGATACACAGTCCGTTGATGGCATGTCAACTTCCAGCACTGCATTGCTGTTGACAACATCTGTATCCTCGTCAGAGCTACACTCATCCAGTGTCAACTCAGATGCAACATCCAGCAGTACAGGTGTTAGACGAGCATCTTCCTTTAAAGAGGTCACCGTGAGCAGAACCGAGTCTATGGAAAGGCGGAAGGGGATCCTGAAAAGGAACACATCCTTGAACAAACATGATGTGGCTGAGGCAGCTGGCAGTAGCAGCTTCCCAGTGATTGATCCACAGCTGGCAAAGATCCTCATGCAAAGGAAGCAGAAGATTGGGGATGGAGATGTTATTGATGAGGCAGAGGAGAAGAAGGATGAGGTGACTGAACTTGTGCGGAGACCAAGACCGTTGTCTGCAGCTGAAGAAATTGAAGAGAATCTTAGGTAAGTGTTAACTCAGTGCATTGCTTGAAAGTAATTTGATCAGTCAGGTATCATCTTCACAATCAATGTTGGCAGCAGAGTTACCTCCAATATTTTCTGTCTCATATTCTGGTGACACACGCTCTCAAACTATTTTTCATCCATTTTCTGATGTTACCCTCTCACTTGTGTTACTGTCTCTATCTACCCTGCAGGCCTGCAATTGTTTCCTCACAATAACTTTGAAAAGAGTTTTGTGTATTTTCATGTGTGGTAAATGTTTCACTATTTTTTTTTGTTTTTGCTTTTTTGTTCTTCATTTCGTTCACCAGACATAAATGTGTTGTGCTTGTTTACAGAGAAATACCAGTATTAAACACCCCACTTCATTGAGCATTTGTTGACGGGGTTAACTTTTGGTGTGCTTTCTGTTTCAACAGCTGTTTTATCACTCCAGTATGTCCCAAGAACTTATTTCTTGAATTCCTACTCCCCACTCCCTCGCAGTAATTAAGAGTACAGTCACAATTATAACCTAAAGCTCTCTCTCTTCGTGGATGCTGATTGAATGTGACACATTTTTTTCAGCAAAGCAATGGAGTGGAACCAAGGTGGGAGGTAGGGGTCGATGGCTGATTTAATCAGGGAAATAGCTTATGTCAACGGCTGCTGAAGTATGGTATGAAAGCTGATGTCAGTGGGTGAAGATGAACCGGAACAGCGATGTTGATGACACCTATAGATCCCTCGGTGCTTCATAACTGGCTTTCCTTTGTACCGCCATGGGCTACAATGCCCATGCTTCCCTATATTCCAGTGGAACACTTTTGCCTGGAAAGATGGAAAGCCAAAACAACAACAACAATTTACAGCCTTTAGTTGTGCCTCGCTCATGTGTACAGGTATGCCTGAAAATGCAGGGTACAATATGGCCAGTAATATGTGGTTTTCCTCTACCTACCATAATAGGTTCTATACTCACCACAAAGTGCCTAAAAAATGTACCATCACTCACAACAGTGTCTGCTACAGTAGAAAGCAGATACCTTTAACAAAGATGCCTGTACTGCGTACCATTGTGTACCGCCAGTGAAAAATAAAAAGCACTGGCTCTAGAAGCCCTGGTAAAACTGCTTTTTTACTATTGAACTGGGTTTTCTCCGTTGCAAATACGTTACTAAAATATACGTTATCTTTTAATGTATATAATATATTATTTTTTTATTTGACATTTTTCTTCTTCTTCTCAAAGTACATGCCGTGTAGCGTTGGTAGTCATGTCTATCCACAACCTTGTCTCGTGAACTTTCAATCAACTCTGACACAGATGATCATCTATGCCATGATGTCCCACTGTCCAGCATCTGTTCTCTCAGACTCCCTCTGCCTCTCCTCCACTCCAACTTTCCTACCGTCATGATGTACTCCAGTTTTATCCTTTTCATCACGTGAACAAAGAACGCAGATTGTTTCTTTCTGATGTGGACAGTCATGTCTCTTTCTGAGACAGTTTTTGTCAAGACATTTTTATTACTTTTTTGTTTAATCTGTCCAGGGTATTCTCAACATTCGTTTATAAAAGGACATCTCCACAGCTTCCAAATACATTTTCACTAATTTACTAACTGTCCATGATTCACATCCGTATATCAATATATGATTTATATAGCTTTTAAGAATTGTACATTCATCACAAGATAATAACAATAGTTGCACTTCAGCGTGGCTTGACGGTCTACACACTTGAAGACTCTAAACCCCCTAGAAAATCAGGATGTGGGGAGGTGTAGCACTGAGGACTCCCTTCCTCCGATGTTTTATTTTCTAGTTGAGTCCCTGTGGTCGAGTTCACGTTTCTTGACCCATCTGCACACTGGCTGGCCTTGTCTTAATACTTTCTGAGACTCTTCTACGTCGGAGGAATGTCACGTTGTCTTGCCTCCAATTTCATCAGCATCGATGTCACGTATTCTATACTTCATGACGACACACCTTTCAACAACCCCAAAAATCTAGAACTGGCCCTAACCCAAACCTCTTGCCCACAGCCTGAGCCTAGGTCACACGGGAGACTGTTCGAAGAAAGCCGTACAATTTGACGCCCCTCTGACATAGATCAGACTGAGAAAGTGTGTAGATGGGCCGAAAAACGTGTATAGGTCTGTCTCTGCCTCGTTATCTGCGCTTTTCGTCCCAAATTTCCAATGGCAACTAATCTCTAATCATTGGCCTTTTACACACAGGCTATTCAGAGGTTCGGGAAGATGGACCTACCCCATCCCCAGCCCTTGTTCTCAAACTGTGTTTCCGGAACATACACGAGGAATTTTAATTAGACATGCCAGGGGACATTATAATTTATGACTGCTGCAAGGTTTGCATCGCATTATGTTTTAGTTATATCCCTTGAAAAAGTATAACAAAACAGACATTCTTTGGTTTTCCGTGTCTCGCTGAAAGTAAGAGCCAGCCCAAAAGTAAGCCCTTGCATTATTGTTCATAATATAAGCCGTATAGACACCCTAGTTAAGATACTAGTCAAAAGTCCGTTGAAACGCACAGTTCGTGCATTAATGTATAAAGTATTGAATTTATAAAAACAATTATAAGCAAAATATTTTATTGACATGTTTGCCTTAAATAAATGAAGATTTTAAATAAATGTAGATTTTTTACACACACACACACACACATATATTCATATATATATATATATATATATATATATATATATATATATATATATATATATATATGTATATATATATATATATATATATATATATATATATATATATATATATACGTGTGTGTGTGTGTGTGTACATGAGAAAATAAAACATCGGCTGAAAATGAAACCTCTGACGTATTTTGGAGCCAAAATCACACCCAGGTTGGCTGGATCCGCTTTCACTACCATCGGTCAGCCTATGGATCATGCTGATATTATTAGTGCCCTCCGAAACATGGGAAGGGAGGAGGAATTCGGGGACAGTGAATCAACATCACTCGCCAGAATGTAGACTTGGGAGTTAAGATCGGCATAGCAACAACAACAAAAACGAGACGCACGCTAGGAACATTAGAGGACTTGTTAACCAACAAGAACTGGTACTGTTTGCCAACGGACTCTGAGGTTCATATTAAGGGGAGAATCTGAGCACCTATGGATATGTCCGGAGTACAGTGGTGATAACCTAACTAACTAACCCCAATTACAAGTTGTTTTTCCTCTTGTGGGCTCAAGGGCCCAGTCGTGGGGGAAAACAAGAATAGATACACTGCCTTCCCAATAAGCATGTCGAAACAATCGACTGATTAGGAGCTTCCTTCGAAGTCGGAATGCATCCCCCTGAGACACAAGGAACAAATAATTTGTACGCAATTAAGTCAGGACTGTTAAACGATGTGCACCCAACACTCAGGTTCTGGAACACGACTCAAGTCCAGAGGTGGGCAGAGACCCAGAACTTTCCACAGGATTTTCCAGTGGGTTAACGCGAAGAAAAAGAAGAAGAAGATAACTTCTTTGGAGTTTAAAGGAGATCACAAAGAAGGATGACACGGAATCAGAAGAAGAAGAAACAGAAGGAGAACAGGCAGAAGAAGAAGAAGAAATAGGATGAGGAGAAGGAAGTAACCAGAAACATTGAAGGAGGAGGAACAAGAGGGAGAAATAAGACGAAGAAAGAGAAGATAGTTGAGGAGGACGAAGAAGAAGAAGAATAGAAAATGTTATCAAACGGCCTGCGTCTGAACGACAATTGTGTGCACCTGTGTGTGTATTCTGTTCTGTTGTAAATCTCCAGATACTCACTTCAGAAAGCAACCCAAAGGGGATTAAATCCCGAAGAGGACGAAGGATTGAAAAGGGTCAGCGTGGCAGATAGGATTTACTCCATGCAGAACAAAATCGAGGAGGAGAAATACGCAGCCTTGACCCCTAAGTCAAGGTCGGGTTTGTCCACCCCGCGATCAAGGCCAAGGTGAGTACTCGTGCGGCGTGCGTGTGTGTGTGCGTGGTGTGTATGTATGTGTGTGTGACGTTTGTGGCGGGTGTTGGTGACGTGCAGGTACGCTTGTTTATTGCAGGTGTTGTTTTGGATGAAACTTCTCACTTGATGGATACTTTCACTGGCAGAGAGATTCGATGCTGTGTGCATTCTCTCTCTGCACGAATGTTGTTGTGTGTATACAAAACTGTGAACTCTTCTGTACTGTGCAATGGTGAATTTTACGTACGGATTTCATATCCTCCTATACCTTGGATTTATTGGTAATATCCCATTGTAGATATCACGTGCGTGTGTCACATAGAAGGAGCAGTGGTGGTAAAGTGGCTAGATGTTCGCCTGCCGGCTCTAAGGTCTTCAGTTCGATTCTGCTTCGAGTCGGATTTTGTTCCAAAGCTGACTTTGGCTTATCTGTTTGCTTTTCTGTTTGCTTTTGTCAATCTAGATTGTATCTGTACTATTTCACCGAGTCTGCTAATCTGGACTAATCACTAATTTACTCTTCAGTGATTTCTTAAGATCTGCATGAAATCCTACTTTACATATATATTTGTGGGCACCTTTCTGCCTTTCTAGACGACACTACCAGTCTTCCCAATGTGCTTTTCTACCGGAAACATCTGGTGCAATGGTATGCCAGGCAGGCATCAGTTTAACTAATTATGTTGTTTAGATGCTGTTACTGTAACTAATACATATTTGAGCCTAATGAAGTTACAATTATTACATCATGAAACAGAAGAGCCAAAGTGGCATGAGGGGGGGGGGGGGTGGTAGGTAATGTAGCCCCTGGATGGGGCGCAGGGGGTTGAGAACAGTGGTTCATGTTTGGCATGGGTAATTAATTCTGACTTAAAAAGAAATTCTAATTTCTCTTTGGAGTGTATTGGCCAGAGAGGCGGGTCATCAACAGTCTGCATACTAATGGGCTATATGTGTAAAACGTGTGTGCACGCATAAGTCAAATTCTGGGATAAAACCAAAGTCCAGAGGTGGACGAGAAACCAGACAGTTACGCCAAAGTTTGCAGCAGGTGAACGCTAAGAAAAAGAAGAAGACAAAGAAGAATTTCTGCTTTATTTTGAGCAGGCAGATAGACTGGCCGGTTCTGCACCACTTGGTGGTGAACTGAAGTTTGACAAGCTGGATGTTGTGAGGTCCCTTTGGGAGCGAGTGAACAGTGCCGAGGCACAGGTAGATCATTACGGTCTGAGGAGAGTGGCACTGCGAGGAGTTACAAGGGGATCTGGCCGACGCTCGACACTCAGGCGTTGGGCGAGACGGTTATGCAGACAGTTAGTGGTACCATCGGAATTTTAACTCTTCGCTTGCTGCTGAAGACGGAGCGTTTATGGGATTGTCCCGAGTGCTGTGATGTCGATTTCTAGTGCACCATTCAATACTTTTTTTTTAAATTATTATTTTCTATGCTCCAGATGAATTACTTATTTGCAAAGTCTTCGCTTCAACAGATCTGGATTTATTACCCCAACTCAGAAGTCATTTGATGACACCGCCCACCAGCATCTCAGCATGACCTCACCTGTGTCAGCAGTCACCATCTCAGCGACGCCAACAGTGACGCCAACAGTGACTTCAGCAGTGACAACTGCCCCCAAAGGCGGTGATGCCTCACAACACCCGGAGGAGCAGCAAGACAGAAACAGCACGGCGGTGTCCGGTCCACAGCTGATTGAGAAACTCAGCAAGCTGGCCACTGCTTCCGAGAGGTATGAAGAGAAACGTCACAAGTTTCAGCGTTGCTCTAGAAATGACTGGCGGTATCAGACGCAGCCGGTAACTTACGAAGAGATACAAGCAGCTGATAGGTAAGTTGTTGGTGTCTCTGTGTGTGGGTGATCTGGTAACTAGTGTCGTTTGGAGAGTGCCTGCTGTGCAAGTGTTGTGTATCTTTCCAATTGTCTGCCTGTCTGTACTGTATCTCCAAGTTTCCTCTACCTCTGTCGGCACCGTGCATTCTTCTTCTTGGGCCCCGATAAACGGAGCGTAGACCGTGGACCAACTCACGCCAAAATGATAATGACGGGGCTCAGCACAGACTATGGTCTTAATAAGTAAGCCCTCTACCAACTGTGCGAGCAAAGCTCTTGGGAGTAAGTGTATATATTAGATTAATAACAGAAGGCATAGGGCTACACAAACAGCTGCTGTTCTTGTTTCCCTTGTCATTCGTTTTGAACTTTTGGCAGTGTTCCTCCAAACAACGCCTAGTCGGAGCGTTTCTCATAATCACCGCATTCTTTCTGTAATCACACCACATTACTAGAGCAAAGTCCAAGCCATTTTGTTTGTTCCTGCCTTACTCACTAGGGCTGAGTTTCTTCTTCTGCAGTTTGTTTTACCCTCCACTTCATATAGAGAGCTGCCCCCTCCCCACTCCCCCCCCCACTCCCCCCCCCCACCCCCGAGTCTGGCATGGCTCACATTTTCAGTAATATTTTGCATGACTGCCAATACCCTACAGTTATGAACAAAGGGTCGGTAGAACCTGAGAGCTCAGACATTTCCCCCCCCCCCCCCTTTTTTTTTTCTCCTCCTCCACCTGCTTCATCTCACGGCGAGAGTTGTTTTTCAGTTTTTCCTCTTCTTTTTCTTCTTCTTCTTCTTCTTCTTCTTCTTCTTCTTCTTCTTCTTCTTCTTCTTCTTCTTCTTCTTCTTCTTCTTCTTCTTCTTCTTCTTCTTCTTCTTCTTCTTCTTCTTCTTCTGCTTCTTCTCCTTCTTCTACTACTACTACTACTACTACTACTACTACTACTACTACTACTACTACTACTACTACTACTACTACTACTACTACTACTACTACTACTACTACTACTACTACTACTACTACTACTACTACTACTACTACTTCTACTACTACTACTACCGCTGCTGCTACTACTACTACCTCTGCTGCTGCTGCTGTGTATCGTGAACGGCAGATGGTAGATGGACACACTTAAGGACGGCTAGGCTGCACTGGGCCTTGTATTTGAGCTCTGCCGCCTAGTTGGTCGCTGCAACATGATGAGGATTTAGGGGTTTCAGTCTGGATTATTCTTGGGCCAGCGTGGTATGTTTTAAATGTGGAAAACAAAGTGACCATACACACAGAAATCGTTGTGTTTTTCTAGATTGTACTTTTTAAAGTTTCAGCGTTTCTTTCTTCTTTTTGTGTTTGTTATAGATTGTATTTTGTCAGTTTCCGTTTTTTTCTTTCTTTCTTTCTTTGTTGTTGTTGTCGTCGTCGATGCCGTCGTCGTTGTATTTGCTGTTGTTGCTAATGAAGTTGCATTTTTGTATTATTTTTTTTTCTCCTAGTATTGCTTTTTAATTGCTAATGTTATTGAACATTGTAGACTATTTACTTCTTCGATATTGAATTAATTAACATTGATTTGGTAAAAACTTATAACATTTTCTTCTTTATTTAGATTTAGTCTTGTTTCTATTCATTTTTTTTTTTTTTCAAATGCCTGGAATGATACATTTTGTAGATTAGTTATTGTTTTTGCCAAACACATTTAATTGTTAAAATTTGAATTATTACTTTAATTAAGTAAGAACAAATTTATATGCCAATAATATAAGTCTGCCTATTTGTTGTGTCAGCTTTGTCCAGGACGAAAAATTACTGGCTACATTTAGTCAGTCTTAGCCACAAACAGTGCATGATAAATGTGTATTTTTTCCCTCTTTCATTTGGAGACATTTTATCTTGTATGGTATGATTAGCCTGACGAAGCCACGACAGCGAAACTGAATGATCTGGGAATACACTGACTACTTACAAAATATTATGGGAATACCCTGAATACTTATAAATGTTTTAGAAATAGCCTGAATACTTACAAAGTGTTTTGGAAATAGCCTGAATACTTACCAAATGTTTTGGGAATAGCTTGAATACTTACAAAATGTTTTGGAAATAGCCTGAATACTTACAAGATGTTTTGGAAATAGCCTGAATACATACAAAATGTTTTGAAAATAGCATGAATACTTACAAAAAATGTTTTTGAAAAAGCCTGAATACTTACCAAATGTTTTGTAAATAGCCTGAATACTTACCACATGTTTTGGAAGAAGCCTGAATACTTATAAAATGTTTTGGAAATAGCCTAAACACTTACAAAATGTTTTGGAAATAGCCTGAATACTTACAAAATGTTTTGGAAATAGCCTAAATACTTACAAAATGTTTTGGAAATAGCCTGAATACTTACAAAATGTTATGGAAATAGCCTGAATACTTAAAAATATTCTTGAAATAGCCTGAATACTTACAAAATGTTCTGGTAATAGCCTGAATACTTATAAAATGTTCTGGAAATAGCCTGAATACTTAAAAAATATTCTTGAAATAGCCTGAATACTTACAAAATGTTCTGGTAATAGCCTGAATACTTATAAAATGTTCTGGAAATAGCCTGAAATCTCACAAAATTATCTGCAAATGCCCTTAAATCTTCACTATTTTGTAGAAACTTATTTTTTTTTATGTTTAGGTTTAGGCCACAAATCAGCATCATGGCAAACTGGTAGTAAACCCATCCGTTCTACTTCTGACTCAAACCTGAGTCCGAAGAATATCAGCGCAGTGCACGAACTCTGTGGCACCGGCGAGGATCCTGAAATATTTTTGGATAAATCTTTAACTTCAAATTGTCCATGGCCAGCGCTATTAGGCTGCTGTTTTTTTTAAATTTCCAACTGCCAATGAATATTTCACGTGCGCAACAATACACGCGGGCGTCCGATCTTACAACGCAGAGACCAGGGGAAATGACTTCAAGTCCACGTGAAAAATATCCCAGCCTTCATCGGGGCTTGAACCTGGGACCTTCAGTACTCGAGGCGGAAGCCATGCCTGGAGATCACGCAGCTCCATCCCCTCCCCTCCCCTGAATTCCATCCATGATGTTAAATTAAATGCACGAAATAGAAACGAATGGAGGAATAATGGAGACTGCGAGCCCTATGTGACATATAATGGCCTAACTGGACAATGGTGATAAGGTTAGGTTGGTATACTCTTGTCGGCGTCTGTGGCTTTGGCGTTGCGAACGCGCTTTATAATGCCGGGGTGCCGGGTTCGATCCCAAGTGCTGGCCTTGCGCCTGGCGTTGGTTTCGACAGTGGTATCGAGAAGCCGACCACCCAGAAAGCAAAGGCAAACTACTGGACGTAAATTTGCCTAGAAAAACGACAACAGCCCAAAAAATGTTGGGGTTGGTTCTATAACGTGATGAAAATGATATACAACTTACTTTAAACTCTGCGGTTAGCGCAGTGTAATACTATCACCTGGAAATACGAACAAATGCAACCCCCCCCCCCCCCCCCCCCCCCCCCAAAGCCAGTCATGATATAAATGTAACATGGATAGAACAGTCAGTTCTCACAATTATAGAGCGCAGCCTGTGCCAACCTGGCACCACTCCATCAGAAATCTGCCCACGTACATAAGTAGAGAGCTTGTGCGGTCGCTTCATCTAAAGCAGTGTTCTTCAACTTTAAAACACCCGCGGACCAGGAAGATTCAATTGAGGCGAACGTTGTTGAGAGAAGACAAAGGTGCTGACTTGATTCCATCCATGACTTCGAAATGGTTACACATGATACGTGGAACGGGATGAATGAATATACTGCTAGTCCCATGTGATGTGTAATGGAACATCAGGACAATGACTCAATGACAAAAACAGAGGCAGAAATAAAAACAAAATATAGCCTTTTTTTTTTCCCCAACGCATTGTTTCCGGAATAGAGTTTATCCGTTTATGCTGCACTCCCGGGCGTGAACCTAGACCACAAGGAGTTCGTTACCTTGTCGCCGCGCAGAGGGTTTTAACCGACTGCGCTAGCGAGCCGAGCAAGCAGCTAACCTTAAAAATCAAAGTCTGGTAGGTTCAAAATTGGATTGTGAAGGGATTTCACTAACCTGTAAGACACAGAGCCGCACTTAAAGTAGATGTAACTTTATTATTAAATTGTTAAAAACGTAACTTGAAACCTACAGGGTCAAAGGAATGAAAGCAGTGTTGACCACAATTACATCACTAGTGAAGGAAACAGTGAATGAAGAAGATGAGAGGAATAAATACTTGTGAGCTAGATGCTTAAGCCAAAGAATCGGCGACATAGTTAAGAGCATATGTTCCTTGTACGGGCAGACCAAAACTCATCAAGAGGGAATAAGTGAACTGAAAAAGACAGGAAGAACCCTGGGTGAACTAGAGGCATATACAAAAGATAATGCAACATTAAGAGCCCATGTTTATTTGAGGGTAAAGACACACCAAAAACAGTGGACTGATTTTTTAAAAAGGCACACACAAAAGCAGCTGAAAATGCCTTATTGGTACCAAGTTTATGCTATCAATACCAGACATGCTCACACACAAAGGCAGAGTTAAAACATATGAGATGAGATGTATAAGAGATGCGGTGGGGAAAAACAAGATGGAAAGTAGTCATCAACGAAGAACTTAGAGAAGTGGTAGGCACAGTACAGGTAAATGATTACATAGATCATCAACATCAAGGAAGCAACCAAATAGTTTTTTTCATCTGGCCAAATAGTGTAAAATCAGCCAGCAGCTAGAAAGTACTGTAGTCCGTTCCAAAAGTAATGCCAAATTTAAAAATCTGTAACTCAGTAATCGTTTAATGTGATGGGTTGAAATATTTTCCTTGTATAAAAATTGTGTACTGTCAACTGCAAACATCTAGTTTATATTCTGCCTTACTTGTGGTCTGTGGGGAAAAAAAAACAGACATTGACCCATAACAAACAGTAAGTATGATTACACAGTAAATGGATTGGTGCGAACTCGGCAAAACATCACAGTGTACGCGTTTTAGGGGTGATCCCTGCGAAAAACTAAATGACGCTTATTTTGAATAGTGAAGAGGATACGTAATGTACTGTCGTATTGCTTATTGATTGGCTCATACAGTTAAGCGAATTGTGTAAATTACTGTGCATTAATTTTAGAGTGGTGTATACAAATTATTTGTCTGAAAAAGATCAAAGAAATTCACCGCTGTGAGAGAACAGCAGCACCTGTGCAATTGTAAATTCTGAAATCATAAGGACATTAGAAATCTAAGACTCTGTGCTGAAAATCGTGTTTATCCTACAGGAGTTTCTAGAGATGTTTGTTTAAGTTTGAGGTCACAACTCTTGGAACGCAGTGTACGTCAAAACAATATAATACAAGTCAAAATGTTGGCTAAGAAAGAGATGGATGAAGAGAGTAAAAGAAACACCAAAGAAACGCAATATGACATTAACAAAAGCTAATCAGGCCTGCCATCTTTACCTCCTTGGATAATTCCTGCTGTCTGTTTTAGATTCAAACAACCTGTACGCTTAGGATTTTTTTTTTAACCACACCCCACCCATAAGTGGCTTTAATAAAATCTGACACGTCAGATCTAAGCCCACAAAGAGGTCAGAATACCTTTCTCTACCTTCCCACCTTCTACCTCACAAAAACATGGTGGCTATCCATGCATGTTCAGTTAAATCTTGTTTGCGCAATTCGCAAGCGTTTGTGGGATTTGTCGGTGCTTCATACATGTTCTCATTTGCTGCATGCAGTTTATTGACTCCTTTTTGTTTCAGAATATGCTGGCTGTTCTCTTATGATTTATGACCAGACGGTATTCTTGAATGTCATTTATCATGAAAACCAGACCTGTGGTATCTGTACCTATACATACACACACACACACATATATATATATATATATATATATATATATATATATATATATATATATATATATATATATATATATGTGTGTGTGTGTGTGTGTGTGCGAGTGTATGTGCGTGTGTATTTTGAGGTGTTCGTTTTTTAAGGGGGGAGGGGGTGCCACATTAAAATTTTAAAAAAAGTTGTAACTTGTTATTACAGCTGGACGAATTTATGGAAAGGGACATGGAATGAGACAGCACGAAACTATTGCTGGCAGACTTATATCATGGCTGGCAGACTTGTATCATAGCTGGCATACTTGTATCATGGCTGGCATATTAGGGCTTTAGCCCTCGAATGTTATAATATAATTTGGCTATCTTCCGAATTACGGTCCCAAATTATCGAGGCAGAAAATATACCCTAACAGAGCCTCAGCCACGTGTCAATTGCGCACTTCCGGCAACTTAAATTGCGCACTTCCGGCAACTTGCGCCACCGCCGAGGTATCCCATACGCCGCTCACACAGCGTGGATTGGGGCTAAACAATATGGCTGGGAGTCATGAGCAGCAGCTACCGCATTTCCTGCAGCTGCCTTCATTTTATTTGCTCGTGAGTCCCAGCCATTTAGTTTAGTCCCAATCCACGCAGCTTGAGCGGCGTGCGGAATACTTTCTGCAGTGGCGGTATAGTCCCCGGAAGTACGCAATTTGGCGGTGACGGTCTAGTCCCCGGAAGTGCGCACCTGACACGTGACTGGGGCTTTGTTAGGGTATATTTTCTGCCTCGATAATTTGGGACCGTTATTCGGAAGATGGCCTATTAATTTAATTCATTTAAATTGTAATTAATCAATAGCATAAACGAAAGGTTAGTGGTCATGTCCAAGATGTTCGGACAGCAGGACTCATAATTTTATAGTCCAGCCGGTACTTGATGTGCTGTGTGTGTAATATCACAAGCCGGTCGCCTTTGCATCTCAGGACATTTTCTTATATCCGGTTTACTGAAGAGTGGACCTGGAAACGCATGTGATGTAATTCTGCGGGGCTGTGTGTTTGGACCTAAGTCCTTGAAAGGAAATTTTTCATTAGCAGTGTCGGTGTGATTTCTATTTATATGCCTTGTTGTACGTGTAATGTGTGTGCATGTGTACGCGCTAATGCTCGTTTCTCCCCAGGATCTCGTCATAACTTTATTTCAGTTTTATCAAATGAGCTGGGACATGTATCCATTTCGTCTTCATTCAGCGATAAGAATTGACACCAGATCTCACAAGAAGAATAACGTGCACTGGCATTGCTTAAACGCTGCGTGAGGTGGAATATTTGCAAAAATGTAGGCCATCTGAGGATTGGGGTATGCTGACGCTTGCATTAGGAATCCCTATATTCCTTCTGCCAGGCCATCTGAGGATTGGGGTATACGGACGCTTGCATTAGGAATGCCTGTCTTTATTCTGCCAGGCCATCTGAGGATTAGGGTAAACGGACTCTTTCATTGGGAATGCCTGTCTTTGAAGAAAGTGGTCATTATTGAAGTCCCAGGAGTTACCCGATGCAGAAAGGGACATTAGAAGATCTAACAGCGAGTTAGTTTATTGATTGCCCCTCAGACTTAAGCCGGAGGACATGCATCAATATGTGCTTTAGGGAAAGAGGATTGGCTTCATTGCATCGGATGTTGACCCTGATGGCGGGATCTCTCTTTACACCGTCGCCGGTCACCTGATCAGAATTGTGTACGTTGCATGAGTCCTGTCAGACCAGGACTACCCTAGGGCATTTCCTAAACACTTGCACTCCCAGATGACTCGTGAGTCCCGTCAAACCAGGACTATCCCAGGGCATTTCTTGAACACTTGCACTCCCAGGTGTTGAAGTTTGTTGGCAAACATCATCAGGACCAGGTACGGTTTTCTTGCCAGCACTCGTTGAACAATGTGTTGTCTTGCAATGGGAACTGTTATGAAAAGCGGAAGAGCAATTGCCCAGGCGGATAAACTTAATACCTTCATACAAGCACGGTGACTAGAAGAAAATCGTATGTTGACGGTGGATCGGCAGTCTTGAAGAAACTAAATAACAAACTAATGTGGCGATCAACTTAATAACAACGATATACACGGAAACCAACACAGAATTTTAAACCAACATAGAACTGATATCTTGAGTCACCATACGCTGAGAGATACACATGGGAGGGGATTTGAACACTTGTGGACTGAATAGTTCGATGTACAGTGAGGTTGATCAGTGGCTTAACTAACTAACCAACTGTGACCACAAGTAATTGCCTCAATTGTCTTTCCAGCATGGAATCAGTCAGCGCTTTTCGAGCCCTGGTACGCAAAAAGACGTCCATCAACGCTTTCGAACAAATCACTGCCGAGTCTTGTAGGGTTACTAAGCAACAGCTGCCCCCGTGTGGGAAAACTCTGGAATTCCCTCAGCATCTAACGCCGCCGCCCAGGCACGCTAGGCGGGGTCGTATGTTGAGGCATAGGACGCTGCCAGTTACAGCGGATGAGCTCAATGCAGTGCCGGAGCACCAGATGCTGGTTACGGATCCAGAATGGCTGAAGGTCAGTCCTGCCTGACAGTTTATGTTTTCTCTTCTCTGTTTCTTATTCTTTATACAGCCTGTTTGGTCATTTACTCTCCAGAGGTTAGACACTTATCGAGAAGGTAGCACAAAACACGAATTCTAGCTCCAGCGACGGTACCCTGGGATTTCCCTTACAAACCAAACTCAAGAACCAAAGACACACTTCGTGAAGTAAACGCACGACTTTCAGAGCACGAGACACTTGGCTCCATTCATTACTGGGTCACGCAAACCCCATTTCCTAAATGTAAAACTTACTAATGATGGAGTATGTGTTTTTCAATGTGTCCAAAAAAAGTTTGTTTGCTTTATTGCATCTATTGTCGGTATCGCCTTCTGCGTCTGGCAGACCTGTACCATGGTATGGATGGGTTTTAACCTCCCCCCTCGCCCTGAACGTTATACAATAACGTTATTCACTTAAATCAAATCAATGAATAGCACGGAAGAAAGGTAAAGTGTCATTTTCAAGATATTGGTTCACCAGGACTCATTTATTAACTGTAGCTGTACTGCCTGTACGAAGAACATAAATGGTCACTTGTCACTGTTTATCTTTTACCTCGATAAATGCAATGGACATCACTGGGACTGGAAATCTGAACTGACCGCTGAAGATGAAAAGGGAATGTATGATTGCCGCCAGTGATGCCAAGTCGTAACTCTTTAACATACCGCACAGTACATTAGGAACGCCGTCAGATATAGATCCTCTGCCTGGGCCGGCCTTTAGCTTACTCAGTAACCGTCGGGACTCCAGTATAACTTGAAGTTGAACTAAGCTTGTTGGGATGTATACTTTTAGGGTCTCATCTTTAAGGCCTGTATTTATGGACTACAAACCTAGAGGTGACGAACTGCAATAAGAGGGGGTCGATTATTGGATTTGATGAAGGCAGATACAGCCATGCTGAAAGAAGGTGCTTTTTGAAGGCAGATTCACCTGTGTTGAAAGTAGGTGCTATCTAAAGGCACATTCAGTTGCGGCTTATGAGGTCCCTGGTTGTTAGCGTCCTTTGGATATTTTCTCCAGATTATGCCGGTGTGCTGGAAACGAACAGGCAGATAGACTGGTCAGTTCTGCACCACTTGGTGGTGTTGATATGTGACAAGCTAGATATTGTGAGGACCCTTTGGGAGCGAGTGAACAGTGCGGAGGCACAAATAGATCATTACCGTCTGGGGAGAGTGGTACTGCGGGGAGTTAATAGGGCATCTGGTCGACGCTCAACAGTCAAATTAAAGGCGAGCCGGATGTACAATCGGACAGTTACTGGTGCCATCTGAACTGGAACGCTTCGCTTGCTGCTGAAGATAGGAATGGAACGCATATGGGAGTGTCCCGAGTGCTGTGATGTCGATTTTTAATTAAGCATACAACATGGAATTAGTTGCGTTGAAAGAAGAGGCTGTTTGATCAGTGCTATTCAGTTGTCTTACAAGACGTAACAGACCATTGTCACGCCTTTTTTTTCCGTTTGGTGCACCCAGGCGCTAGACCTAAACTTGTATAGACCAGTCAGAACTCTATGGTTGATGCCGTCAACGTCATATCAGCCACCTTTACTTCCCATAGCATTACCTAATATCCTTTTCAGGCTTGATTGACCTTGGAGGCAAGGACGGTTTTGGAGGGAAAAAATCATCCTTTGTGGGGAATTTGAATATATTATAACTATAGTCTTGGTTCTATTGAAAGAATAAAACACTTGGATGTTGATTGAGTCATCTGTGAGGAATAGATATTGAATATCGAGCCAGCCTTGTTAAAATAATAGAGAAATGGATTTTGAATACTGAATTAGTTATGCCTAAATAATAGAGAATTCGAAATTGAATGTTGATTCAGTTATTTTATTGTAAAAATTAAAAAATAAAAATGAAATATAATCTTAATTTAATTATGTGAAATAATAGAGAAATTGACATTGAATGTTGATTTCATTGTGTGAAACGAACTGTGAGATTTTAAGTTTGTTTTAACTGTCTTAAAGGGATAGGGCTCTTGGGTGTTAAATAGTAATGTTTAAAAAATTGACAAATTGAATATTAATGTAAAAAGAAAAAGAAACACGTGTTAAATATAAATCGAGTTTTCACGCACATGACTCACCAGTTTAACCATAATGGTAATGTCAGAATTGAGTATTTTCATACTTTATCACGATAGTAATGTCAGGTTTCTGTGTTTTTAAAACTTGATCTGGATACTAATGTCCAGTTTCTGTAATTCTATAACTTGACCCGTTTTGCAATCTTAGATATCAGTATTCCTAGGCGAAATTTATTGTACAATTTAAGTACTTCCATAACTTGATCAATGTTATGCCATATTTGATTTTGTTCAAGCTGAATTAGGTTGATAATTCTGTCGGATATCACTATTCTGACAGTTTGATCAGGATTGCTTTGCCAAATTTGTCAGTATTCACGTGGTTTTTCCAAGAGGTGATTAAGCTATTTGCTTCATGTTTATCATTTGTTACTGTAGTTTGCACCTGACGAGATACAGCGAAATATGCCAGGCAATAAATTGTGCAGTCTTATGTTTGTGTCTTCTTTGTTCATATTCACATCGGGGAAACATTGCTTTGACTAGATGGTATTGTCAAGTTTCAGTATTCTCATAGCTTGCCCTAGATGGTATTGTCAAGTTTCAGTATTCTCATAGCTTGTCCTAGATGGTATTGTTCAGTTTCAGTATTCTCATAGCTTGTCCTAGATGGTATTGTCAAGTTTCAGTATTCTCATAGCTTGTCCTAGATGGTATTGTCAAGTTTCAGTATTCTCATAGCTTGTCCTAGATGGTATTGTCAAGTTTCAGTATTCTCATAGCTTGTCCTAGATGGTATTGTCAAGTTTCAGTATTCTCATAACTTGTCCGTGATGGTATTGTCAAGTTTCAGTATTACTGCAGTTTGTACAAGATGGTATTGTCATGTTTTAAATATTCTAAGAGTTTGTATCTGATGGTATTGTCATGTTTTAAATATTCTAAGAGTTTGTATCTGATGGCATTGTCATGTTTTAAATATTCCCATAGTTTGTATCTGATGGTATTGTCATGTTTTAAATATTCCCATAGTTTGTATCTGATGGTATTGTGAAGTTTCAGTATTCCCTTAGTTTGCGATTATAATTGTGAAAAGTCTTAATGATCTCATAATTTGTCAGCATGAGATATGTTTTGGCAAAAATGGTATTGTCGGGTTTCAGTATTATAATACTGTTTCCAGTATGAGAAGTAAGATATAGTTTGTCCAAAATGGCTTTGCCAGGTTTAATTAAGTATTATCTTAGTTTATTGAAGATGGCTTTGTCAGGATTCAGTATTTCTGTAGTTTGTCGAGAATGAGTAGTAGTTTTTCCAATGTCGTATTGTCAGATTTAAATATTCTCATTGTATGTTTTGATAGGTTTAAAATAGGTTTCAGTATTCTTAAAGTTCTGAGAAATCTGAGAAATGAGAAATAGTTTATCGGAGATGGTATTATCTAAATTAAATGATTTAACGGTTTGAAAAAATGCTGAAATTCAAGAACGAGTATATAGGGATACTTGACCAGGCGGGTATTTTTAGGTCTCAATATTCCCACAGCTGGACCGGGATGGTCTTTACGACTCCAAAGCCGACTCCGGCATCTTATCGGGATCTGACGCCGACAGCCTCAACAACGCGGACAGTTTACGCAGCTTGACCCAGGAGATGGACGGGTCCGACACTGACCCGTCCCGTCTGAGCGTCACGGACAAGACCTCCATTTTTCGGGTGCTGGAGGAGAGGACAAAGGCTGAGAAGTCAGCCAGCGGCGCCAAGAGGTAAACAACAACTTAACTGATATAGACGGTTGAACTGGGTTTCTGGGATTTGCCCCTGTTAGATTCGCATCCCATGAGTGGTTCCTTGAGTCACTAGGTGTTTGTCTCGCAGGCGACGGTTTCCAGGAGAGTGGAAGATTTAAAAGAACATCTGCTGGACACGTCTCTTCTTAGAGTGGCTAGTTTTAGTCTTGATTAACCCTTTTGTGGTGGTGGTTGGTGTGTGTTTTAATGATTGCGTGTATGTGTGAGGGCTCGTGTGAATCGATCGCGTGTGCGTGTTCCATCCCCAAAATTCTGCCTGTTTGTGTCCTTGCTTCACGTGTTCTTCTTCTGGGTATGTTGTGTGTTGAGAGTCCTCCTCCGGGCGTCGCCAACCATTTCCGGCATTTATTGGATGCTGTGTGGTTTTACTGGGCAAGTTTGGATGCATTAGATTGACTTTACCTACTTTATGGTACGACACTCATATCGTTGTATAAATCATTGCAAAGCGATTTGCTACAAAATCGCCTGTAACTGATCCTGAACCACACTTTATGTCGAGATTGTGAAGCTGCAACTCATAACAACGGAGCCACAAACGCTGACTCTGTAAGTACTTAAATAATAGAAATATGCAGTATAATAACATATACATTTTTATTTTATTTTCCAGTTTGCCGGTTTTCTGTAGGGGTTAAGCACAGATTTACAAATTTATTGTAGTGTTAATCTTATGCCTTTCGATACTAGCAAGCTCATTTTATATTTTCTTATTCTAGTAGACTTTTGTTAGTTCAGCCATTAAGTTCACTTTGATCACATGTGTCATTTTTTTTTTTTTTTTCATTGCTTGCTTCTTTTTTATTGTGGCGATATTTGGCTTTCCGTGTTGTATTTGTTTTTGGGCTTTAATTGCTTATCAGCTTTTTTGTTTGGCTTATACATATTTTAGCTCCACTCCCCCACCGTCCCTCTCCGACTCTGATGAAAACTGTCTTTTAATATGTTGTTAGTATTGGTTTTGTGTGTCTGTGTGACTTGTTACAATGTATTCTTCCTGTACAGGTTACTATTGTTTTCCTCCTTTTCCTCACCTGTTCGTCGTAGTCTTTAGTTTTCTTCTCCTTCTTGTGTAGGTCGGTCCTCCCTACACAGTTTAGCATCTGTTGAATAAATACTTGTGACATTGAACTGTTGGTTATGTTATTATGGACTGTGTATCGCCCATAGTGTTAAGGAAAATCATCTGTTGGACACTTGACAGGTGTGCTAGATGCAACCACCCCCGTTAGCACGCAACAGCACCATTCCACCTTTTTGTTTAGATCTATTTTCCTATACAGTTTAGTGTTATTTTCCTCTTGACAAATTTTAACTCACATAGCTGTATAGGATGAATAGGCGCACCACCGCCTACGGTGCTGCAGCAAGACTAAGACTCGAGACCTATCTTCACTTCTGTCTGGTCATACTCGATACGGGTTCCCTACCTGGAACCTGGTAAATGTAGACATGATCAACTGTTCATTATTGAGATTATCTTCATCGCACATAGGACATGACCATAAGTCATAACATAAGACTATAAGACAGGATTCAGTCAAGTGGGAGCGCACCTGCCAGGGTGGCGGGAACCTTAAGTCCGCACACAGTAAGCCGGATCTCGTCAGCGGAGTTACACGTAATACTCTTCTTCTAATTATTTTCATTCTCCGTGCCTCTGGTTTTTAGATTTTAAAAAGTCATATGCCTCTGTGAAATTGTGGTGCGATGCATGACTTCCACTGATCTAAACAACGTGGTTTTCATCAGTATTCTGGTTCCTACCGGAATACCATCTGGTCAAACATGGTAATTTCTGCTGAATGTAGAGAGCGTGTCTACATCACTTGGTCAATATTTAATGGCGCATGTCGACACGGAAAACTGTCTGAGACTCAAATGTTGAAATTTGTGTACTTAACATTCGAGTCCTAGTACAAGACCAAAGTCCAGGCGGCAGACGCACAGCCAGAACGTTCTGTTGATCAGAATATTCGTATCCGTTTGTCTTACTAAATTATCCGTGTTGTCATCATAAATGTTTTCCTTCTGTCGTTGATGTTGCGGAGTGGGAGACCTTAGTGGACATTCCCCATAGATTACCAACCTCTTCATTTAGACACTGTTATATTTATAGAAGAAAGAGTATTGTTGATTTTGATTGCTGTTATATAAATGTGAAATGATCAACTTCATAGAAACCTGTTTTATCTCATACGAATAATCATCTGGAGAATCCATGAGATCAGGGGAGTAGTGTAATAAAAAATATGTAATGTACCATTGTGTGTGGTCTGCTTCTACTTCTTTCCTCTTGTCATGTCCCTACTGCTTCCTTTTGCAGTGTGTTCTTTTGTCTCCACTACTTCCTTTTGCAGTGTGTTCTCCTGTCTCCGCTGCTTCCTTTTGCAGTGTCTTCTCCTGTCTCCACTGCATCCTTTTGCAGTGTGTTCTCCTGTCTCCGCTGCTTCCTTTTGCAGTGTGTTCTCCTGTCTCTACTGGTTCCTTCTGCAGTGTCTTCTTCTGTCTCCACTTGTTCCTTCTGCAGTGTCTTCTTCTGTCTCCACTGGTTCCTTCTGCAGTGTCTTCTTCTGTCTTCACTGCTTCCTTCTGCAGTGTCTCCTTCTTCTCCACTTCTTCCTTCTGCAGTGTCTCCTCCTTCTCCACTGCTTTCTTCTGCAGTGTCTCCTCCGTCTCCATTGCTTCCTTCTGCAGTGTCTTCTCCTGTCTTCACTGCTTTCTTCTGCAGTGTCTTCTCCTGTCTTCACTGCTTTCTTCTGCAGTGTCTTCTCCTGTCTTCACTGCTTCCTTCTGCAGTGTCTCCTCCTTCTCCACTGCTTCCTTCTGCAGTGTCTTCTCCTGTCTTTACTTCTTCATTATGCAGTGTATCCCGTGTCTTTTCATCTTTCTTCTGCAACTATGAGTGTCCAGCAGTAAATTACAATTTCTTTAGCATATTATGTACTTCGTTTGTCTAGGTCTGTCTCCACTACTGGGCTGGCATGAGTTCCTTAGCACCAGCAAGGACCTCTTGAATTTTTACAAAATAACATTCATTAACCAACAGACACTGTCTGAAGACTTTAAGAACGCAGTTGAAGTGACATGAGCAGGCTATTGTTAATCACCTTTATCAGTCGTCAGGGCACTTGATGCTGATTTGCTTTAATGATTGAAGCTACTATAAGCAGAGTTTGGTTATTCCAGAGCACTCTTTGAGCCACTCCAGCTTTCGCTCTATATACCACACGCTAACAATTTTACGTATATATTATACTACAATTCGCAAGTGTAGTTTTAATTTCTAAGTTATCTTTTTGCTAATGACTTGTCTAGAGGCAATAGGGTCTTGTGAAGCATAGTCAGATGAAATGCACTCCATAATCTTTATTACAAACGTATGAAACGTATAGCATGTGTGGTGGAATTAAACAAAGCAGCTGTTAAAAATAGAGCATGCACAAAGGATCGTGTAAAGGGGACATTTAGACACATATCCGTCTTCTTGTGGAAGACCTCAGATACTGTCTCAACCAAGCAATCACTCGATCAGTCAGTCAGTCAATCAGGTGTCGTTTTCGCAATGGAGGTTGTCTACGATGGATCTCCATGTCTATTGCTCTATTATTGCACTCTTTTATCAGGTATTGTCCGCCCACTTGTTTCGCTGTCTACCTCAGGCTCGTCTCTTTCTTCTTTTTCCCAAGTATGGATTTTAAAAGATGTTTTCCGGTGATACACTTGAGTTTTCACGAATTGTCATAATAATTTGATTGATAACTCTAATTGTATCCGCTGATGTACAGGTAGCTTTGTATAATTCGTGTCTCCAGGTATATCAACAGAAAAAAGCGGGAGCGATCGCAGACTATGCCCATCACAGAGGAGGAGGTAAAGACGGCTTCAGAAATGGGCATCGGAGCGTCTGGTGTAGTGAACGACAGCAACATGGGGTCGGCAAGTGTACCCCCGCCAGAGGTCGTCAATAGGTCACGGTCATCTAGCATTACTGAAGATGGCGACAAGGAGGTAGAAAGAGATGAGGACGCGCTCACAAAGTGAGTATTTGACTGTCCTGCTGGTTTTATCATCATCATCATTATCATCATCGTCACGTGACACTGTGTGTAGTTGGGTCACTAGTTGCTTTTGACAGTGTGGTCAGCCCCCTCCGCCTCTGATGGTCAACTTAGAGGAGTTTGAAGTTTGAACCAACATCATGGCACGTGGGTAGTAACCCATAAGAGCTCCGTTCTTTGTCTAACTCAAGACTGAGTCCGAAGAAGCTCAGCACATTGCACAGGCGCTGTAGCACCGGCGACGATCCAGAAACACTTTGGGTATATTTTAAATTCAAAATTTTGCCCGGGGGGCGCCGTTAGGCTACTCTTTTTGATTTCCAAGTGCCAAATAATTTTTACGTGCGCAATAGTGCACACGGGTGTCCGATCTCACTACCCAGAGACCAGGTGGAATTACTAGCATTCCAAGTCCATGTGAAAAAAAATCCCAGCCCTTAACGGAGATTTAACCCGGAACCTCCAGCACTCGAGGCGGACACCATGCCTTGAGACCACGCATTCCCCTTTCAGTTGCTGTGGACTTCATAGTTGCTTGCTCAATGCCTCTCAAGCAGATGCACTCTGACGTCGAAAGGACACCCATTATTAGACTTTTAGTGTTTTCATTTTCATGCTGTGCCCTCTATCTGGAAGCATTGATTGTCGTACTATTTATCTTTGTTTTTCAGTGAATTTAACTAATTGTACTGTACAGATAGGTTTTCTAATCTGTTAATGTCTCACGCGATATATTTTGGTAATCATCATCATCATAGTTAACTTTCACTTTTGCCTTTAAGCGTAGGAACAAATTGCAGATCATAGCGAGATGGGTATGCTGGTTATTATCATTCTGTGTTTACTCAGAATCTCTTTAATTTCACTGATCCTTTTTCTCCTAGGACGCCCACTTGCGTTCACGCCAGATCCTATTTGAGATAGCGCCTGCGCTAGTAGTTGTTGTGGCTACATTCTAACAATATGATACTTTGATCTACTTCTTCTTAAATGAAATTGGTGCACGGTGCTGTTCCCGCAGTCTTTCTGATAGTATAATGCTCAATTCTGTCTCAGATATCTGAAAAGATTACTTTGTAGACAGCAAACCCACACCCTCCCCCCCCCCCCTTTTCCACTTTTTTCCCCCCAACGAATCTCGATGTTTAGTTTCTTTCTGTTGACATATGGCTGAACTTATTGGTTATAATGACCTATGAGAACAGTGTGCAGTTCACAAGTTGACCTGTTAAAGAATTTCTGGTTGCGGAAAAATATGAAACAAAATGTGGCGAACCCTAATAAAATTGTGTGTGATACATATGGAAGTAGTCGACAGGAGCACTGTTAGTCTCTAAGTTCATAATTAGGGCTTCAAAAAAGTGGAAAGACGGATCTGAGGAGGTTATTTGTGCTGAGAAGAAACATAATGGAGCCAAAGGGCGCCTGTTCGTATTTCGTACACTGACATCTTAAAATATCTAAGCATCCAGGAAGACTGGCTAATAAACAGCACCAGTAGCTGAAATAATTTGACCTAATCAAGCGTAACGGCGGATTGGAAAATAATAAAAGCAGAAGGCATGGTACCAGGAAGAAGGGGAAGGGGCCAACCAGCACCAAGATGGCTGTAGAATATAAGTGACTACTTCGGGATGCAAGTGCTTACGACGGGAGAGCTGGCAAGAGACAAGAGTATTTTTCATGCAGACCGTGGTGAGAGCGACGTTCTGCAAAGTGCAAGCTAAATTATGATGATGTAATGACGTAGAAGTACACACATATTCTACAAAAAATAGGGATGTGTAAAGGACATAATCAATTATATTGTCAATCAATTTCAAACATTTTGCACATTTTCTGAGAACACTTGATTGTATTTCTGAAAGCGCTTCGTAGCTCAAGTCGTACACGCCTCGAACAGTCCGAAATGTGATACTTCAAACCTTTCATTTCAGCTGTCTGCATTATAACGTCTTCATTCTCTTTTAGAAAATCTTCTGTCGTGGTTTCTTATTTGCAGCAAGGCAAATCAAATACTTCAACAGACTTCGACTTCGGATTTCATTTTCAAAATTTTTAGCGTCCACTTTAATTATCTGTAGTGGTAGGCGACTTTCGAGTGTTCAGTGCATGGCATCAGAATTATGGTTTTTTAGGCTGTTTTAATTCCGCACAAACTGATTTCCTCATTTTCTCACACAGGCTGGGGAGCATTATTGATCATCTTTTTATTTTATTTTTTCAAATCTTCTTCGGCCCATCGCATTTATATTTTCTTGGATCACCATTTTATCCACATCTGACAACTGTTCATTCATTCATTCATTCATTCATTCATTCATTCATTCATTCATTCATTCATTCATTCATTCATTCATTCATTCATTCATTCATTTGTTCGTTCGTTCATCAGTTGATTCTTCTTCTTCTTCTTCTTCTTCTTCTTCTTCTTCTTCTTCTTCTTCTTCTTCTTCTTCTTCTTCTTTTTCTTCTTCTTCTTCTTCTTCTTCTTCTTCTTCTTCTTCTTCTTCTTCTTCTTCTTCTTCTTCTTCTTCTTCTTCTTCTTCTTCTTCTTCTCCTTTTCCGCCTGTACATCATCCTGTTCATCCTTCCTCCCCTTTTTCCTCACATTCACATATAGCCAGCTCATTTCTCTCCTGTTCCTAATTCATGAACAGAGACGTTTCATAGTCTCCTCGACATTTCATTCTTTGCCATTCTTTTATTTGAAACCCACTATCTAAAGGTCTGACACACATGTGACTCGAAAAAGTGCATGTCGAATGTCATTTCATTCCATCCTGTAATCGTAAAACTGCCAGAGGAGACATATATGTAATTGGTGTGCTACCGAGGCATCCTTGTACATTGGATTGTTGGCGTGTACATGTACTTTAGTGCTTGAATGCAAATGAAAGTGGACGTATGCGAGTGGAAGTGTTTTGTGTGGCTGTGAGTGATCGTAACTGTGCGAAAATTATTGTATGCTCATTGGATTTATCATATGTGCAGGGAAGTGATTTATATACGTGGGAATGAGAGTGGTCGTATGTGCGTAAGAGTGATTATATATATATATATATATATATATATATATATATATATATATATATATATATATATATATATATATATATATATAATATGTGCCTGAGTGGGATTGTATGTACGTTGGAAGTTTTCTTTGTGTTTGTCCTCTTTCTCTTAAAACGGGTAAAAACAAGGTTTCTTGAAGTGTCTGGGAAAGAATGACGGTGATGACGTATACTGGTGAGCTACTGTAACTTCTAGTACAAAACAGTCATCAAATATTCTCCCAACTCCCTATACAAGCATGTCGTAAAAAGCTACTGATTACGGGTTTGCTAAAATCAGATGTGTTGATGAGAGAGGTGCAGGAATCACAGTCGTGCTGTAAATCATAACACGACATACCTGTCGCCCTTCTAAGGGTGGACTGATAGAAAAGAAGTGAACTAATTTTCAGCACTAACCTATAGCTATCTACCCAGTATAACACAAGCACAGCATTTGCTCCAGCCCGAACAGGTTAAAAACTACCCAGTACAACACAAGCACAGAGTTTGCTCCAGCCCAAACGGGTTAGAAACTACCCAGTACAACACAAGCACAGAGTTTTCTCCAGTCCAAACGGGTTGGAAACTACCCAGTACAACACAAGCACAGAGTTTGCTCCAGCCCGAACGGGTTAGAAACTACCCAGTACAACACAAGCACAGAGTTTGCTCCAGCCCAAACGGGTTAGAAACTACCCAGTACAACACAAGCACAGAGTCTTCTCCAGCCTGAACAGGTTATAAACTACTGAGTACACCACAAACACCAAGTCCTATCCACCCAGTATAACAGAAGCACGGAGTCTTCTCCAGCCTGAGCAGGTTAGAAACTACCCAGTAAAACACAAGCAGGGAGTCTTCTCCAGCCTGAACGGGTTAGAAACTACCCAGTACAACACAAGCAGGGAGTCTTCTACAGCCTGAACGGGTTAGAAACTACCCAGTACAACACAAGCACTAAGTCTTCTCCAGCCTGAACATGTTAGAAACTACCCAGTACAACACAAGCAGGGAGTCTTCTCCAGCCTGAACAGGTTAGAAACTACCCAGTACAACACAAGCACTAAGTCTTCTCCAGCCTGCACGTGTTGGAATCTAACTGGTTCAACACAACACCAACTTTTCCAGCCTACACCTATAAAGACCTACCAGTATAGCACGGGTATGAACTCTGTCCAGCCTACACCTATAAAGACTTACCAGTACAACACGGGTATGAACTCTGTCCAGCCTACACCTATAAAGACCTATCAGTACAACACGGGTATGAACTCTGTCCAGCCTACACCTATAAAGACCTACCAGTACAACACGGGTATGAACTCTGTCCAACCTACACCTATAAAGACCTACCAGTACAACACGGGAATGAACTCTGACCAGCCTACACCTATAAAGACCTACCAGTACAACACGGGTATGAACTCTGTCCAGCCTACACCTATAAAGACCTACCAGTACAACACGGGTATGAACTCTGTCCAACCTACACCTATAAAGACCTACCAGTACAACACGGGTATGAACTCTGTCCAACCTACACCTATAAAGACCTACCAGTACAACGCGGGTATGAACTCTGTCCAGCCTGCATATGTTGAAATCCACCTGGTACAACACGATACTGACTTCTCCAGCGTGTACGTATTGGAATCTACGCAGGACAACTTCACAACCACATTCGAAATAAACGAAAACGACGTTCCTTTGTCTCTAGCAAAATGCATGAGAGCAGTGGGCAAATGCCTCACAGACTCCCAGCAACCTGTTCAGAGAAATAATGCCAATTATCGGGCGGAGCACAGCGTTCACGAATCACACAACTGCTTCTGAGCTGCCAGGCTGGAGGGCGGGAAGGTGGTGTAATTGATACTATAACGTAGAAATGCGGATATACTCTATTTCCAAGCTGTCTCTCCG